GAGAGAGAGAGAGAGAGAGAGAGAGAGAGAGAGAGAGAGAGAGAGAGAAACTAGAGAGACACAGAGAGACAGACACACAGAGAGACAGAGATAGAGACACAGAGAGAGAAGCATGGTATAGAAGAAGTGATAACAACTTGAATAACTTGTTTTAAAAACAGAGTAGCCGGGCAGTGGTGGCATATGCCTTTAATCCCAGCACTTGGGAGGCAGTGGCAGGCAGATTTCTGAGTTCAAGGCCAGCCTGGTCTACAGAGTGAGTTCCAGGACAGCCAGGACTACACAGAGAAACCCTGTCTCGAAAAAACAAAAAACAAAAAACAAAAAACAAAAAAACAAACAAACAAAAAAACAGAGTAGCGTACTTATAGTTTGCTGGAACAGTATGTGCTAAGCTTTGGGTATAGTCCCAAGCACTAAAGTGACACCCCCCCCCAGCCCCTGCCCAAAGAAAAATCACAAACAAGCAAACAAACAAAAACCAATTAAGAACTCCACTAGTTCTTATCTCTTCTAAGTACAAAGTATTCATGGTCACTGGCCACAGTTTTTCAATGAAAGCAACATAACCAGGAAGCAGAGGTCTCAGCTTGTGTCTAGCTGTGGGGATCAGAAAGACACTGGGCAAGTGAGTACAGAAAACATAAAAGGCAACAAGGGGTTAAGACCAACAGGCCCAGAGAGAGGATGGAGGGGTAGGAGAGGGGGAAGGGCACAAGAGGGCTGGAGAGAACTAGAGGTGGGAGAGGAAGGAGGCCTCAGAGCAGGCCACCACCCTGGCTCAGGCTAGACTGTTTCTGTCAGAGGAGTTTCAGGCTTGTTTCACTCTAGCATCTACATCTATCCTCAGCTGACTGCGCAGTCTCCAACTGGTTTCTACTGGAGTTTTCTCACTTCCCTACCTTCTCAAAACAGAGCTGGATGGGCCTTTGAGGTCCCTCCTCCTGTTCTAACAGCCTTCTATCTCAGAGCCTGAGATAGCTGACCTCAGAGCCTCTTGATCCACTTGTTGTGCAAGTACCCTTCCGCCGTCCTCAAAATTCTTACAAAGTACTGGTTTTTGAAACTTGATTTTTTTTTTAACCTTGTCTCTCCTGACAGATTTGACTCCCCCTACCTCCCAGGTTTGCCCTCAAAACTGTATCAACTCTGACTTCTAGATCTTAAAGTCTGACTTTTCTAGAAGACGGTGAATTTCCATGCAGGTGATTGTGCTCAAACCCATGATCCCACCCGTCTCTTTATAAAATAACATTCCCAACTAAGGATACTTTTAAGATCCCACTTATGAAAAGATGTTGTGTTCTTGTTTCCCGTCACTGAGAAGAGCACCGGCATGTAGTACAAAGTAAACCTTTTCTCTTCTTGACTGCCTTGAGGAGGCTGCTTACCTGATACAGATCATTTCTCATGTTGATGATGTCATCGGAGATCAAACCAGATGTGACTTCTAGCAGATCCCTCACGAGCTGAGCATGAAGATGGATGATGGCTAAGTGTAAGACGCTGGAATGACACACAGTGGCGGTAATTAACCAGGGGCTTTAATAAGTGACAACAACAACAACAACAACAGAATATCAAGAAATGATTGGAACTGAAGACTGAAGCTAGCTGTTATGGGTAGTTTTCTTTGGCCCTACCGTGGACTCAATGTACTGATCTGAGGTGACATGATTTCACATGGATTTTTCTGATTCCCACTGCCTAGCTCTATCCCAGGCTGCTACACACTGATAGTGCCTGTCTGCCCCTGGGAGTGTTAATGTCTGACCAGACACATGAAGTGCAAAGGTGACTGCCCGGTCAGAGTCCAGATGGCCTTAAGCTCCAAGCCAGCTCTGTCTCCGTGCGTCTGACCCAGGCAGCTCCCTAGTCTCTCCCTGACATACAGACCACGAACAAAGGCACTGCCCAGGCTTAAGAAGAGCTCGGGAAAACTCAGCTGCCCAGCTCTCTTCCTCCATAACAGTGAGAAGTGACTTCTATTTTTAAACGAAATCTTGCTGTTTATCCCTGAAATATTTCACTTAGCAACCCTTCTCGGGGTGGGGTGGGGGATCACAGTTTGCTCTTTAGATGATCCCATGCCAGTACTGACTGCCAGTAGAGCATGCAGGCTTTGCTGAGAAGCCCCGTAGCCATGCCTTGGGCTTCAGTGGTACTCCTGATGGAACACTGGTAGAAGCTGTGGGAAGTGATGGGGACAGTCACATATCGAGTGACAGGGCTTCCAAAGCTACTTCAGTATTTCCACGTGTGGCTCAGCACTTCACAGAAGAACGTCCCCCCTCCTTCAGATCTTCATACCTTAGGGGAACGTCCCCAATACCAGAGGGTTCTATAGTTTTCTTTATTGTATTTTCTATGATGACTAATGGTGACAGGGTCCAGTCTATAAGCCAAATATGACAAGCTGAATAAAGAAGAGAAACCAGAACACTTCCTTATCTATGCTTCTGAGCGGGTCCTCTGTGTCTCCCAGGTCTCATACCTCTAGCCTCTCAGGGAGCCTGCTTGTTTACGTCTTGGACAAAGCTCTGTGTATTTTACCTGAATAGGCAACAAAGGCCACTGTCTCAGCTGCCCCATGAACATCCAGGGTCCTTACACACAGATCTTTGTGTTCCTCTGCACGCACTTGCTGGACTGCATGTGCCTGGCATCCCTTTCCACAGCCCTGCCTTCAGATACCAGCCTCTCACTTCCTAACATGCTTGCCCTCATTACTCATGAACTTAGCCAGTGTTTAAAGATGCCACTTGAAGTGGCAGTGTTCTGCCCTGGTTATCTGCACTGTTCTGTGGTTATTTGCTATTGAATGCTAATTGGATGATTTCCCTCTAAAGGCACCCTCTGCTATTCAGGGCTTTTTACACAGAAGGTTGTCTGGGTTCCTCTTGTACTGTAGGACAAGGCCAGCGGTTATACCACATCCTTAGTTACACTGCAAGTGACGGGGACAAAGGTCTCTGTGCAAAACCCCTGAGGTTGGCATTCTTCTAAAGCATTTTGTTTTTAAACTGAGACTTACACAGCACTCCCGAGTGCTTCCACAGAAAAGGACTTCTTTTCAGTGTCGACGCTATTTTAAGATCACTTAGATAAAGTACTTGAATCTCAAGACTGCTGTCTCTGGCTATTTTTATAGGCTTTTAGATCATTTCAGAAGTCTCAATGGAAGGACTAAGAGAACCATTTAGGAAGGAGCCAGGTGGCTTTGCAAACAGAACCTCAGGAATAGAAAGCAGGCATGGCGTCTGGAATGTCAGACTCCCACACAGCCTGGCCTGGAGCTGAGGCAGGGCCTGATCCACTCACAGACTCGTGACTCTTAACAGAGGCCACAGAGAAGCAGCCAGTAGCTAGGAAGAAATGGCATTTCCTCTTAGTTACTCTACTAATGTTGTTTTTACCAGGCACTTCTTTGGGTACACTATGACAATAATGCTTCAGGGACTTTGCAGGAATGTTAATAATTTTCTCAATTATTATTTTAATACATAAAGCAAGGGTTTAAAACCAGCATGCGTACACATATCTAAGCCTTCTTGCCTAGGGAGACAGCATACTTGACATCTTGTCAGATGAGGGCAGAAGTGTTTTGACTACAGCCCCACAACGCTCCCTGTGTTGGCAGTTTGCTTCAGCAGTATCCTTGTTTTTCCCTATCCTGACACAGTGCTTGCTTACTGTGTAGCTGTCCCCACTCAACTCACCTATCCCCATTCTCATCCTGCACTGAGGTGAGATGGCGTTGCACGGCCAGCAACATCTTCACATCTCCTGTCACTGCGTAGTCGAAAAGGGCGTTGGCGTGCCGCTTGGCGAGCTGCAGAGCCTTCTTGAGAAAGAGGTTATCTGCAAGGCAATGTCCACAACCACAGCTGAGTCTCACTCGCTCGCCCTACGTGTGTGGCATGGCACACCATTTTAGTTGAAAATGCTCCTTTTGGTGATTCTGGATTGTGTTGACTAGAAAAAGCACAATTGGGCATTGTCTCACTGACAGATAATACAGTTAAGAGATTGATTTTAAAGTGTCTGTGGGCCGTGAGGAACAATCTAGAAATATCTGCTATTTTGAGAAGAACAATCAGTTTCTATGATTTAAGGGGAACAATCAATCTCAGGGTACTTGGATTTTACCGTAATTTTAAATAACCAACCATTTTATAAACAATTCTCTTCTGGAATCCAGTCTGAGTCAAAGTGAGAGAACATGCCCTCGGGTCCTAGGCAATCTCAGAAACCCCAGTGTTTTTGGAAATTTTATTATCTTAGGGTCAAGGGATGACAAACTGACCTCAGCATGAATGGGCAAATCTAACCTGTTTCGATATGACTCTGTAGACATATACTGTGCATCTCAAAAGAGGTATGTTAAAAACAGAAAAAGGAAAATTTGTGATAGTAACCATGTATGGTCACTATGTCTAAATAGTTACTATCTTTTTACAGATGGCGTCTGACCTAGAATTATGACTCATATGCCAATGAAGCCTGCTCGGAGGAAACATTTCCTTTTAATTCTACTTCTTCAAGTAGGGCAAGAGAATAAAAGGCAAAGTCCCATTTTCAGGCAAATGTCTTCAGTATGGCAGCTGAACTAGTTGCTGGGTGGTGCGTGAGGGACACGGAGACTTCCTCGTTACCTGGGCCAGAGACAAAGTAAGTTGTCTCTTCTCATACCCAGAACTGCACAAGACTGGACAATGTACATGCAAGTTTCTGCACTTGATAATTAGAGCTGAGGCTGCAAAGATGAATGGATTTACCAGACGCCTCTCTTGCAAGGCACAGGGCACCATGCAGAGCACTCAAACGAGATGCTGACCCATCAGCTTCAGGTTAACAGGAAGGAAACCTGTCTTCTGGAGACAGCTTCCTGTACTTAGAACTGCACCCTCCCCAGCTGTCCCTGAAAACTCTCGTGGGCATGCTCACCTACCCTGAAACCCCACATCCTGTTCCTTGTCTTCCATGGTGGATGTCAGGGCAATTGTTTCGGTCTGGGTGCTGGCCATGGACAGGCCGGGCCCCTCACCTTCGGTTTCCTTCTCAGGGAGATTCAGAATCTCCCTGTCATCGCTCTTGACACAATCTTTAGGGTCGTTTTTAAATTTGGTGTTTATGGTGCCTAGGGAAAAAATGCAGAAGCATTATCTTTTTCTTAATAAAATCTATTAATCAAACTATAACTCACTGTCTCAACCAACATAGGGCAGAAAAAAGGAAAACAGGAAGAAGGGATGTCTGCTGAAAATGGAAACTATAAATGTTTATAACATAAATAATATATTCTGGACATATTTTGTATTTCTTTATTTATTTACTTTTTGAGACAGGGTCTTGCTGTGTAGCTTTGGTTGGCTTTGAACTCACAAAAGATCTGCCTGTCTCTGCCTGCCAAGTGCTGGGACTAAAGGTGTGTGCCACAACACCTGGAATGTTTCGGAAATACTTTAAATATTCAGAAACAATTTAAAAGCTTGTCTTCCCAAAACTCCCATCTCATTCTGTAGCCAGATGTGGTGAGTCCCAACCATAATGCCCCCAAGGTCAAGGTTACACAGTAACATTCTCCCTCAAACAAAGCCAAACAGAAACAAGAAACGAATCTCATTTTGTTTATCTGTGAGGAAGAAAAATGATATAAAGTTCTGTGGGCTGAAAGCTAGTGAGAAGTGTAAAGTTCTTGAAAGCAGTTATTTTCTTTCCTAATGCTGAGTAACAAGGGAAGGGAGCTGTGCAGAGCTCCCATCATATATGAAAAGACTTGATAGAATAATTTCCATGGTGCAAAAGAATGCACCTTTATATAAACCATGAGCAGCCTGTAACCACAGCTACTCAGGGAATGCCTGAGAGTGAAAATGGCCAACCCTACAAAATGAAAACTGATTTCAAAAGGTTGGGACTTGAGGTGAAGGGACAGATATGAGGTGGTATTTCTATGCTTGTGTTGTTAAGTCTTCTGTCTAGAGCCTCTGTTCTGTTTCCATACAATGTGATGAGCAAATACACATCAAGAGTGTTCTTTATGCTGTCCTAGAATAACACGAAAATATTAATTTACTGGAAAGCTATCTTCTAAAGCTTTTACAGATGACACTGTTGCCCGTGCAGTGTTCTTGGTCCTCAGACCCCACTCACCATGGGTGATCCCTGCGTTGGATTTAGTGGCTCCAGGATGGAATGAAAGCCCACTGTAAGCAGGAAATCCATAGTGCGGGAAGCCGTACCCTGAACCGGAAACGAGACAAAAGGAACATCAGGGAGATTTTTAACAGTATGGGGACCCACTCAGGGGAGGCAGGCCTTTGTGTGGGGAGGTGCCGGCCTACACAGCCTCTGCCTGAGAGTTAGTGGGATACACTGTGGGAAACGGACAGCTGAATTCTACTGTGACAACACAGTCAGTGCCCAGACTGGTGGCCTGGAGGATTTAATGATGAGCAGGTCCTTTCCTCCCAGGCGAAGGAAAAAGCTAATGGTAAGTAGTCCCACCAAGACTCAGACTTACAGTAAAATAGTTAAATAAGATGACCCCTGGTGAGAAAATACTTTAGTGGAAAAAATGGCCACCATGTTCCTTTTCAGTGGAAAAAGGAATGATAAATTTCTTGGGAGGAGCAGCCAGCCCTAACACTACACTCTCTGACAGACAGCTGAAAGCATTTACAGGTTATCTGGAATCAAGGAAGGCCGTGCCCAGCACAGTGTTTTACACAGAAAACAGGAAACAGCATTCAAGTCAGTTATGCTATAGGTATGAGTCATTAAACAGCACAGCTAATTATGCTCCTATAAGAACTGGATTCCCATGGACATGCTCAAGCTAACATCAGGGGCAAACCCAGCAGCGTCACCCGGCATCCACAAGCATGATGCAACGGTGGGGAGAACCTAATATAAACAGATGGTTGGAAATCCATGCACGAGGAGGATCACAGCTGGATCCACGAGAAATTCATAAATATTCACTGTGCCATGTGCATGGCAATCAGGAGTCGTAATTCGCACACCATCAAAGTGCTTCCCTGGTAGGATTTTCTGTGACTCCGTTTGTTTATATGATGGTGTCTACAGCCTGCAGTATGCTGTGTAGGCATATTATACTCATCTACCATGGAGTGGATACGATAGTTGTTTTAATATTTTCCCAGAATACTAGACCAACTGTTCCTCCAAAAAAAAGGGGGAAGAGGGGAAATATTCAAAAAAATATGTGAAAGGTTTTCTTCCAGAGACATTTCAGTTGACTTTTTTTTTTCTTACAGTTTTGGGATTAGTCACATATTATCTTGGAGGAGAATGTCCAAGACCCCCAGTGTATTCCTAAAACTGCAGATACATACTGACCCAGGTAAAAGTGACCATGTGAAGAGACAGAAGGAGATGAAGAAACAATTATACACAGTAACAGGGCAATCATAACAGCAGACGGTGAAAACAGTTCTGTGTGTGTGGTCTCTCTCTGTCAACACAATAGTAGTATTTTTAGACTCAAGCTGACCGCGCGTAACTGAAACCACAGAAAGTGAAACTGGATGGGGTAGGGGGAGCGGCTATGCCTTAAGACGAACACACATTTCTTTGAAAAAAATTTACATTTGTAGGGAATTTTCCATTAATTGGAAATCTAATAATTAGTAATGTCACCAACACTCAATGGACAGATATGTTTGGAAACCTGGGAAGGAAAACTGTCCCCTCCTCAACATGAAAGGCCTTAGACAGAAGAGAAGTTTTTTCGTACCTGGGCCGGGACTTCCGGTACTCCCTCCACCACCGCCACTACCGAACATGCCTCCACCACCGGCTCCCGCTCCACTGCCGCCACCAAAACTGTCCGAGAAGTTGGGCATGAGCTTCTGGCGTTTCCTCTGTACTTCCTCTTTGTCTGTATTTACAGGAAGGGAAACCAGAGGGGAAAGACTGATTGGGTTCCACCAGCAGCCACAGAGAGACTATTGATTCTCATGATATTTTTAAATGCATTAAAGGGAAATAACAGGCGCCCAAGGAGGAAGCATGGTATTTATTCCAATGGACAAGAAGACCAAGAATGCGCCTCAGAGACCACAGTGTGACACACACCCAACTCCACTGTGCGACATCTCCTAAATTCCCAGTGCTGACCAGTTGGTGAGAGATCTAATTGCTCCTCAAGATTTAGATAACCCAAAGATACACTTTTTTTTTTTAAAGAAAGCTCTTTACTTCTTTATTTATTTTGAGATAGGGTCTCACCATATAGCACTAGCTGCCTGGAACTCACTATGAGACTAGTTTGGTTTTGAACCCAGATCCAACTGCCTCTGCCCCGTGAATGCTAGGATTAGAGGTGTGCACCACCACACCCAGATAACATCCTGAACAGTTGTCCTTGTGCGCCTAAGACAACCATAATGAACCAGCTTACATTTATTACAGACATACACTGAGCAAGGTGCTGGGCTAGACAAACATAACACACATCTTTGCTGTCAAGGGCCCTCAATTTCAATGCAAAGAGGGACTTAGTGACACACCATCATATGGAATTATATGAAAACAGATTCATGGTGTGACAAGCCTCTGTAAAGGCTAAAGACTATGGTCGAAGGACAGGGGATATTCTGGGAAGATACAGAGGGATTTCTCAAAGGAATAACATGGGTGGGTGCTTTTGATAACAAAGGCAGATATTTTAGCTGGAGTGAGAAGTTAGTATAAGAAATTCTTGAGAAGTAAGGTGGACTGGGGGCACCCACATTGAGGAGCCTCAGGAATAGGGACTTGCTTAGAGGAGACTCCCTGTATGTCTCGGAGAGTGACGTGTAGAGGACAGTTTTTAAGAGCTACGTCTATCACTGTTTATAGGACATCTAGAGTCAGAGGAAGACAGCGCAGGCATGAGGCAATGGAGACCCACTCCTTACTGGTTATTGTGATAAGAGAAGTGTGGTAGATCCTAGAAACACAGAGAAGGTCTACAGGGATGGTTTGGTGTCTAGAGTCTCACACTCCAATATAAAGATGGCCTCTGGGACAGGGGCCTGCCCAGATCCAGGTGCTCTGAGACTTAGCTTGCTGCTCCTCACAGAGTTCTGTGTTTCTCTTGTCTCTTGTCATCTGTGCTCCTCACTAGGCCAGGAGTCCTCTCTAATTCTGTTTCTGCACTGCGATCGCCAGCCATGGTGCCCCAGTTCCGTCATGGTCTGTGTGATCTTTAGCTGCCATGTTCTTGGTCCTGTCAGTGTGTGAGATCTGCCAAGGTGCTGCTGTTCCTCTGTTCCTTCCTTCCTATTTCCTTTGTGGTCTGGGAGTATCCTAGCAGATAGTTTTGTTTTGTTTTGTTTTTGCTTTGTTTTTGGAGCTGAGAATTGAAGGTGGCTTTGTGTTTACATTAAAGAGTTAGCATGGTATTCTATATCCAGGAAGTAAGCTAATACTTAACAATCGTCCTGTGTCTGACTGATCAATACCAGTTTTCATCGTGGTCTATGCTCAGAAAGATGTCACTTTTCTAGTTCTGTGGGTGTTCCCGTCATCCCATGGTGAGGCACAGGACTTATGGATTATGTTGGATCGTCTACTGCAGCTGACGGGGAAAACAGGAGAGCATGGTGGACTTTGCCAGTCCCTGGAAAACCAACCCTGGGCACAGCATGGAAGAAAATGACCTTCTGCCAGAAAGGAGTGAACTTGCGGTGAAGAGAATCTGGGTACTTTCTAACTAATTACTTGTAGAAATATTTATAAAGTTTCCCCACCAGTTATACCAAAACGAATAGCTATAGTCATTAGTCAGACTATGATCAGTTGATCTCACAAAGAATATTGTTCCACTGTAGAAATTTGAAGCACAATAGGTGTCTTTAGAAAAGATACCTCATCCTGTGTGTATGAAGAGCTTAGTTTGTATTTCATGTATATCATTTGTATTCATGGTGTTTGAAGATCGTTGAGGAAACCAGAACTTCATGGAACCCTGTCCTCTAATCCAGGCACTAGGAAGCTCCTACTCTGCTGGGGTCGGGTGTCCAGGAAGCTGGGTCCTTTCTATAGCACTCTTCTGATGCAGACACCATCAGGAGAGGTTGCCTGAGAACCAAACTCTCAGTGTTTCTAGGTTCACATCCTGCATAGGTAACCTGCAGTTTCTTTCCTTTTTCTCATAATTCTGCATCAGCAGCGATAACACTATTTTGAAGGCACATTTCGGGAGATACACTATTTTTTTCTCAGAAAAATAATTATTTTTTTCCTGTTTTCAAAGGTCAGATGCTTCAGGTAAGCAGTAATTTCACATTGCCTTGTCTGGACAGAAGGATCTAGAAGACCTCAAGCTGGTGAGGAAGGAAGTAGGCCAGCCACAGAGCTCACCATAAACCTGACCCAGGAATGGAGAAGCCATACCTCAAAAAGAGACATGGCCTCTTAGAAACTCTTTCTAAACGGTTCCACCACAGCAAACTCTTGGTCACCATCACTTTGCCCTCAAGGGACTGATACTTGGGGACCTTGGTGTACCTGTCCCTTGTGGGTCCCAAGTTTACCTAAGACCCTGCACCTGGTGACCCCCTCTCCAGCCTCATTCCCTCTGAGCCAGACATTTATGATTTTATCAGAGCCAGGCCTTGTGTAGCCTCCAAGTTCATGGATCTCTTCTCAGAACCATGGCTTTCAAGACAAAGCGTACATAACAGAGGTACAAAGAGGCTGACTGCAGGCAGCACTGTGCGTCCCTACACTTAAACTCTGTGGGGCCAGGGATTCTTTTCAGTGCAGTGTTTCCACACACTTGAGTCATGCCTTTGAGTCATGGCCTCCTTCCTGCACTTGACCCCAAATGAAATATGTTTGCCCCGAGCTTCTTTTCACTCTCAGACTCTTCTCCCTTGATCCTCTCATGCACTTAACCATGCCATAAATTTCTAGTCTGGAAACCCTAGAACAAGTGGAGACACTTGAGTCTCTCTTCCTTTCCCTTCACCCAAGGCCCAGGTCTCCACAGGACCACCATGGCAGTGTCTGCTGGATGCTCACTTTGGCCACTGGAACCTTTTCTAACCCCACTGAGGCACCAGTGAATTCTAGCAACATTCTGACCGTGTTATTCCAGACAGTATGCAGGCAGGCTTAGCCATCAGGGTTAAAGCAAACCCTTCAGCTACCACACAAACACTCCACTGCCTGGACCTGACCTCCCTCACCTAAACGAACCTTCCTCAGTCCATACAGCATCAACTCCCAGGACAAACACCAACTACCACTCCCCTGCCTCTGAGCGTCTCTCTTTTATACATGAGAGCCTTGACTGAAAAATGTGGCAAGTGGCTTCTCACTAAAGAGGAATAATTCGGATGCTTCTTTAGACCAAGGGCTCCAGGGCTGTCTCCTCAACAAGTTCATACAGTTTGTGGATGCTTCGCTTTGGGTACTTACAATTTGAGAACTAGGGTTACAGCTCAGTGGTAGAGCAACTACCTAGTATCTACAAGGCCCAGAGAGCATGATGTCTAGCACTTCAGAAAGCATCATAATCTGCATTTTAACCACACTGTACCTTCCTTTCCTGGTGTGTCCTTTGTGAGGAAAGTGTAGTGACCATCACATTTTATAGTTCTGTACTTTAGTGGCTGAGCCTTCTGTTTAATACTTGAGGGCTGCTGAGTAGCTGAGAAAACACTAGTTTTTTTTTTCCCTTTTCCTTTCTTCCCTGCCCCACCCCCTCCTGTACATGCGGCACCACGCCTGTGGAGGTCCTCAAACATCTTCTGGCAGGTAGATCTCTCCTTTCAGCACACAGGGTTTGGTGCTCAGACTCGGGTCAGGCTTGGCAGCAAGTGCTTTTACCCACTGAGCCACTTGCTGGCTCCAAACTACATTCTAATACTCAACGATAGGTTGTCAAATGGTCAAGTCTCACAGAAGTTTGGCAGCCATATAGTAACATAAGTAATTGGGGCTAATTCCATGACCTTGATATATGACCTTCCTTGTCCCTAAAAATACACAGCATATATCCAAGTAGCAGCTTCTGTAAGGTTGTGTAAAGGATGGGTTACTGATCGTTCAGAGCAAACACAAGAGTCTAAACCACCCAGGTACCTTTGATTTCAGGGTAGTAGAGAAAGGGTTTCGGTTCACTAGTTTCCAAATCCGATTTTCTCCGAAGCTGAACAAATACGGAAGCTGGTTTTGTAATGTTGACATCCTTATACTTTGGCGTTTTGAAGACAATGGCAAACTGCAGGTTCAAAAGACCCAAACATTAGTGTAGGACATTTGCTTTCTAGTGGCGGTGAGTATCAGGCACATTCTATATGTATCTATGTATACTCTGAGCTTAAAGTGTGCTTGAACCCAGCACCTCGAGAAAATTCCACTTAGTACCTTATACCCATATTTATATCGCCCCTGTGAAAGTAAACCCAACAGCATGTTGGCGGACCACACAACTCAACCATTTCTCTTTCAGATTAGATTTAAAACACCCAGTACCACTGACAGAAGCAAGAGAAGGACTGGATGTGGAAGCAGCTGGCACCAGGGCTGCCACTGTCAGGCTGCAGCTAGTCATGCTAAGTAACGCTGTGCAGGAGGCGTCACATGCTAATCCAGGGTGGTGCTGGGATAACACGGAACTAGACAGACTTAGTTACATTTTTTCTATGTTTATACTCATAAGGATCAGATTTCATAAACTATAGGAGGAGCACATGGTGGCATATGCTGATAATCCCCCTGGCTCCCTGCCTCCCTGCCTCCTCTTCATGCACTAACTTCAGATCCTAGAGTAATCTGCTGTTATTGTCTCAGGCTTCCTGCACACATGAACACAGAATTGGTTTTACATACACCACATTCTGTATTAACTGTTACAAATCTTTGCATTCTATTTTTAGGTCTCTGTTCATTCACACAGCCTCCTTTTCTAGTAACTGTATGCTGTTCCATTATATAGATACACCATTATCTAATGAGTTGTTTACTGGTTAACATGTGAGTTGTTGACAATTTTTTGAAATGCCACTTCTCAGTCACTGAAAAGAGTGACTATAACTGTGGTGACTCATGTAATCAGCCAGGAGACCCTGGCCATGTAACCAATCAGCCAGGAGACCCTGGTCATGTAACCAATCAGCCAGGAGACCCTGTTGGGACAGCATCAGCCCCAGCACTTCAGACTTCTTTTTAACATGCTTTCCTCTGTGTTCAATACTTAAACATTTTCCTGGGAGGACTGAGGGCCAGGACTTGGACAACAGACAGCAGATGAGGCACCATGCCTGGCACTCACAGACAGTGTTCTACAGCACCTGCCCGCAGCTCTATGTCAGAACACTGGAAGAGCCATAAACACAGCATTGCTGTATGGATATCAAAGAGACTTAGGATGGTTTCGTTTTTAACATGTGGAAACTGATCACTGAATTTTACCAAGGCAGAACGTGCACTAAAATAAAACCCGCAATAATAACCCACCTACCTGTCTATGAACATCCGTGGGGGAAAAGTCCCCAAATCCTTCCCAAACTCCGCCATTTTCTTCCTCTTCATAAAACCGAATCTGGATGTCATCTGCAAGCAGACATATTCAGGCATGTGACTGCAATGGGTGTAATGATGTTGACGAGCACAGTAGCAAATGCAGCTAGCACAAACGTTCCCTCATGTAATGTAAATGCTTTGAAAAGAGTTGGTGGCAGAAGATCTGCACCATTCTTTACATACTATTTACTCCAGGAATGAGATCTACTCTCTACTCCTAGTGGTGCGTATCAGATTTACCCAACCAATTAAGGTTTGTTTTAGTCAACATTCGAACTTCCCAGTTCTCCATATTTAAACCATTCACTTCTGGGAAACGTGAAGGCGTCTGGAGGAATATCAGAACCTGAGGTGTGACTCAACCCAATATGGAGACGCACACTTTAACACTCGGCATAAACCGTGCTTCCCACGTGACCGGTGCCGGCAGGACCTTTACGGCCATGAGCTTGTCTAGTACTCAGAGCAGTGAGGAGTAGCTGTGCCGATGCTGCCTCAGTTTGCAGAAGCGTGCTTCTCAGAGGAGGCTAAGAGCCTCTGTGGCCCAGCCGCCTGTCAGGCTGAGGAATCTAAAACACAGATGCCTCAGAGCCAAGACCATGGTTTGGTGACAAGTTACATTTCACTTTCTGGTAGCATCTTCTGTTAGGAAGTCTTCTAGTTCTTGGGGGTGGGGAGATGAGAAGGTTCAGAGCATTCAAGTTTAGGGCCAGCTTAGCATTCTGAGATAGCCTCCTGCTGTTAAGGACTGGTTCTAGGAATGTCACACCATGTCTCTTCAAGGTATGGCTTGTCATTTCTAGTTGTTTCTCCCTGGACAAGGTCTGCAGAGCAGGGATTGGCACCTAAGGGTGGGTTCTGAGTCCATGTTCTTAACCAGGCCACCCACTCACTAGCATGGGTCCCCAGGCCCTCAGGTATCCCATCCCCAGGTTCATTAGGGACAGGGGTGAGAACGCAGTGTGGTCCAGCCACTGTAGCAGAATGAAACATGGTCCTCTAAGGTCTCTGATGTTAAGACATTTCAGTGTATTGACAAAGATTAAAAATGAAATACAGATAATTTTGTCCATGGCACATGTGGCGAAGGAGTATGACTGTGACTTTGGCTCGGTGGCTTGTATGTAGACGGATACCAACTGTGCTGGCATTAGTTTTGTGTCAACTTGACACAAGCCAGAGTCACTTGGGAAGAGAGAACTGTCCCTATCAGACTGGCCTGTGGTGCAGTTTTTAATTGATAATTAATGCAGAATAACCCAGCTCACTACGGGCAGTGCCACCCCTGGTCAGACAGTCCTGGTGTTGAAGTAGGCAGAGCAAGCTATGAAGAGCAAGCCAGCAGGCAGTGCTCCTCCGTGGCTTCTGCATCGGATTCTGCCTCCAGGATCCTATTCTGTGTTCTGCCCTGACTTCCCTGGATGATGGACTATAAACTAAAAGCTAAGTCCTCTCCTCCCCAAGTTGCTTTGGCTGACGATGTTTATCATAGCAACAGAGACTCTGAGACAGCAATCTAAGCAAGCTTGTTTAAAACTAAAGAGTATTTGTGGTTTTACTTAAAGCAAAGATTGGGAAAGTAACTACTCCTTTAGCTTTTACTAATGTCCCAATCTTGTAGTGTCCAGTGACAGTAAACCTTAAGAACTTCTCAAAGTGCGAAATGAGGGAAATGAGCTGAGGACCCTGTGTGCGTCATCCTTCTCCTTCCTGCCAGGCATCACAGTGACATGAGGAAGCTCTCTCCACGTTACAACACAGCACAGAAAAAGAAGCAGAGTCTGCAATTTTATGTTGTGTAAAACTCAGGTCACAAGAGTTACTTTAACTGAGCACAGAGAAGCAAGTTTATTAGGAACCTGCGTGCTGCTGAATTCATCTTTGTATAATCACTCTCCCTTTACTTCTGTGAGAAACTGAACTATATACTCAGGCTTTACAGACATAACACACTTCACACTTGGGACTGTTTTTTTGAGACTCCCACAGCAAAAGGAGAACACCCCTGTCTGTTGTGAGTGACTCCCAGAGAACACTGGCAACCAACCACTCTATACCTGGAGGCCAGGTGTGCACATACCTTTCTGAACCTTGTCACAGAGAAGATAGATCTCTTCCCCTCCCGTCACGCAGCCTGCTGTTCTGTCCATCCTCACGATTTTCAGGTTGGACGCGTTAGGGGCTTCTGTTCAAAGGGAGAAGAGAATGCACATCCTAGTTTAGTGTTAGCCTCAGAGAGATCCGATGAGTGAGCTCACTCTTACTGTTTTTAAGAAGATACAAACAGAGCAAGAAAGGTTTCCAAGGCACTAGGGGCACTTTGTGGGTCTGGGCCACTCATTGTCCCCCGAACAGGTGAGGCAGAAAGGAACAGAGAAGGGATGGTGGTATTTGCTTCTCTGGATGACAGCATTTGGCTTCCCCTCACACACAGAAGAAGGAGAAAGCTTCCTGGTGTTTCCAGACCAGTGGCTTGTTTCGTGCTAACTTTATGCCACTTATAAAATTCTTAAACATTTTAAGAAAAGTACATTTTAAACCACTAATTTTTTTCTTCATTCTTCAAAGAAAAGTGAAGATGTTCTGTTTCTTTCCCCCAACCTAAATTAGCATTCTGTGTGGTTTGGGGCAAAGCTGCCTGTAGTGGTGAGTGGGACAAAGCTTCCCCCTTTAAAAACTCCAGCAGCTGTGGCTTAAGGGTCTCTGTTGAGTAAGAATCTTTCCCATTCAATAAACTTCTCACTTCCCTTCACACTTGTTTAAATCAGACAAACCAACTTGTGGATGGATGTAGAACATGGGGTTTCCTTGTACATGGCATTCTATAGCCATTCAATGAGGCTACTGTACTTGCAGGGTTCCTGAAACAACTGTTTGTTAAGCCCAATGCATACCGAACACTAGAGTCACAGTAAATGTTACAGGTGACTGGAAACCCTCTACCTTCTTTTATCTACAGCCTGAAAGACAATTTTGACATGCTACTTATTTAGTTACCTTGATGTTCCTATCTTAATAAGTGTATTTCCAACTGCAGATAAAGACAGATAAAAATAATATTTGTCTCTTATTAATTTTTCTTCAGTGCTGCCAAGGGCAAAAATTAAGGTCATTTTTTAGAGCACCAGCAATCTATCCTTACAGTCATGTGCTCATAAGTAAGAAACTGGTGTTACATGTAAAGAATATAGTGCACTCTCTGAGAAAAGAACATTACCTTGGCAGATATGTTCTTAAGATGCTTAAATGAATATCGACCCTTTACCGGCTGCAGTATTCGTACTTTCTAGACAATAAACTTGAGGCTCAATGTGCCTTAATCCCCTGTCTGCAGCCTCAGCTCTGGGGCGTAAGTGCTGTGGTGAGGCTGCTCTCCCATCTTGCTGGATGAAGCTGCCCCATCTTGGGCCCTAGTACTCACTGCTGTCGTAGATGGCATCTGACACCACAGGCTCCAGTCTCCGAGTGAAGCTGCCAGTGCTGTCGGGGAGGAAGGCTGTGAACATGAGGCGTACCACACTCAGGTCCATCTCCTTGGTCTGCTGCAGAGCTGCCTGGCGGATGATCTCCTTCTCTCTGTCTAGGGTCACAGAGAACAGTCTGCTCATGCCCGCCCGGGTGAGGGTGTGAACATTTAACAGCGTATTCTCAGGAAGCCCAAACAAAGAACGCGGCCTCGAAGACCAATTCTTTCCCTCTAGAAACACTTCCTTAAAGTCTTTTTCGGCTTATACTCAGTGTTTATAGTGACAGCTCCCTGAAGGCATTTTCATCCTAGTACAAAGCGTCCTTTCTCTCCTCCTCATGTCCAATGGAACACCTTCTCTTACTCTCATATCCCATGCATGCATATGCAAATAATCTTAGTGTATCTATATAAAATCTAGGATCTAGAAACGAGAGAGACAGTAGGTGACATCTGTCCTTTTTAGTCTGGCTTATTTCTTTTGATACGGTGATCTCCAGTTGTATACACTGCTCTGTAAATGTTTCTTTTTTTATGGCTTTAGAAAACTGCATTACGGGCTGGAGAGATGGCTCAGTGGTTAAGAGCACTGACTGCACTTCCAGAGGTCCTGAGTTCAAATCCCAGCAACCACATGGTGGCTCACAACAATCTGTAATAAGATCTGATGCCCTCTTCTGGTGTGTCTGAAGACAGCTACAGTGTATTCATATATAATAAATAAATAAATAAATCTTTAAAAAAAAAAAGAAAACTGCATTACTCATTTATACCACATTTTCTTAATCCATCATCTGTTGACAGAGAGCTATGGTGGTTGTTCAACGTGACTCTTGTATACAGCTGCAATAAACACACATGTGCAGGTGAACATGTATGTTGTAGTAAGTTGACTGAGAGTTTTACAAATATACACGGGAGTGGATAGTTGTGCCTATGCAGTTCTGCTTTTACTTCACTTTAAACTCCATCTTGATTTTCTTATTTATATATTTGCATTTGTTGGTCACAACACACATACGTAGAAGTCAGAGGGCAACCTGAAGGAAGTGGTTCTCTCCTTCCACCATGTGGGTCCCGGAGACTGAATTCAGGCCAGCAGGCTTTGTGTGGATTGCCTGTTGAAACATCTGCTCTACACAGCTGAGGACGACCCTGACCTCATCTAGGAGTACAGGTGTGATACCCTATCTGTTTGTAGGTGGTGCTGGGACTCAAACCCAAGACTTCCTACACAAGAGGCAATTACTGTACTACCTGAGCTATATGGCAAGTTCCTGGACTTGTTTTCTTAATGACTTCCGACCAGAGTGAGGTGGGACCTCAGAGCAATTTTAAAGACTAAGGGTGTGAAGCACGTTTTCACATTTGTCGGCTGTTTGCACTCATCGTTGGAGAACCCTCCCTTGCTGCTTAGTGCATTTATTTACTGGGTTGTTTGGTTTCCAGAATTTAATTTTTTGAGTTTTTTCTTATATATAACCTAGATGTTAATCTGTCAGCTACATAGCTAGCAACAATTCTTTCCCCCATTGAAAGCTGTCTCTTCAACTCAGGAAACTGTTTCCTTTGCTGTAGAGAAGCTTTTTAACCTCCTTTGCTAGTTCTTGATTTTATTTCCTGAGTTGCCGGAGCCCTTTTCAGAAAGTCCTTGCCTATGTCATGAAGTATTTTCTGTATGTTTTCCTTTAGCAGTTTCAGACCTTTAAAATTTACATTAACATCTCTGATCCGTGTTGAACTGATTTGTACGGTAGGAGCGGGGGATCTGGTTTCCTTCCTTATACGTGCTATCTGGTTTCCCCAGCATTGCTCCTCCAGGCTGTCTTTTCTCTAATGCACATGCTGCCATCTTTCTCAGGTATCAGGTGGCTACATTGTATTCATTTCTGACTCTCCCATTCCACGGATTTACACTTCTGTTTCAGTGCTACTTCCATGCTGGTTTTGTTACCATGGCTCTGCAGTGTAACCTGAAATCAGCAACTGTGCTACCTCTAATAATTCTCTTCTTCTTGTCCTATAGCTCTGGCTATCTGAGACCTTTTGTGGTTCCAAATGAACTTTATTTTCTATGCGGAATGGCACTGGGATTGTGGATTGCATTCAATCTATAGACCACACTTGGTAATATTTTTGTGCTATTCATTCTGTCAACTCCCAGGAGCATGGAGGCCTTTCCATCATCTATTGATATCTGTTTCTTTCTTAGGTGTCTTAACATTTTCATTGCAAAGGATTTTTCACATGGTTAATTTATTGTCAGGAATTTTATTTACATATTTTGAAGCTCTTGGGGATGGCTGTGACTGTGCTGGGCTGTTGCCTTTGCTGATTTTTTTCCTCAACACATTGATACAGGAAAACCATGGAGTTTGTGTGTTGATTATGCACCCTGACCCCTTATCCGAGCAAAGCCTTTCCAGTGCAGCCACGGGGGGTCTTGTGTATAGAATTGTATTGTCTGCAGATAGGGCTGTTTTGATCTCTCCTTTTCCCATCTGTATACTTTTCACTTCATTCTCTTGTCTCATCACTTTAGCTAAGTTTTCAAGCACTATATGAGTAAGAGCAGAGAAGGGGACATCCTATCTTAGTCTACTTTCCAAGGAAATGTTTTCAGTTTTTCTCCTTTAGCATAATATTGGCTAAAGGTCTATTGTATATATTCTTCAGTATGTTGAGGTACAGTTCTCTTATTTCATTTTTTTTTTAAATCATAAAGGAACATTGTTTGCCCAAAGCCTTTTGCATCTACTCGGCTGACATGTAATTTCTGCTCTCAGGTCTAGCTATACCCTTCTGTGTATTGGTTTTCATATGTTGAACATTCTTTGTTCTACAAATGAAGCCAACCTGATCATATCAATAATCTTTTTAATGTGTTGGTAAATTGGGTTTGCATTATTTTATTGGGAATGTGTGAGTTGGCTTATCTTTTTCTTTCTTTTTTTAATTTCTGTTCTACTTTTATCTGGTTTGGGTATAAAAGTAATACTGGCTTTAAAATTAAGTTTGGTGATATTCTTCCCTGTTCTATTTTGTGGAACAGTTTAAGGAGAATTTATGTTATCTCTTCAAAGTTCTGGTAGAATTCAGCCATGATTCCATTTGGGACTGGGCATTTTTCAGTTGGGAGACATTTTATTGCTTGTCTTAGATCTGTGTAAGTTGTTTATATCTTCTTAGTTTAACACTGGCAGGTCAGATGTACCCGTGAACTTATCCATTTCTGTGAGACATTCTAATTTATTGAAATATATGTTTTCAAAGCATGCCCCAACGGTTCTCTGGATTTGACCGGTATCTCTGGTAATGTTTCCCTGATTTTCATCTTTAATTTTAATAACTGAGTCTTCTTTTTCCTTTTGGTTACTTTGGAACTGAAATTCTTTAAACTGTTAGTAAAATTTTATAGAACAGTCTTATTAAATTGCCTAAAACCATCAAAGGTAACCTGCATTTTCTCTGGAGTATTGTAAATATTGTCTTCTCCCATGCTCAGCCCAGTCTACTCTCCCACTCTTGTTAAGAGTTAAGGTACACACAGAATGTGAGGGAGTAGAGGGAAATGCACAACTCTGCACCACCGGCTGCTCGGAGAAAGGCGAGAACAAGCATGCAGAGTATTTGTGTGCAGGCTCTGCTTCTCCACGGTGCCCAGCACAGAAAGGAATGAGCCAGCTGTGCTGAGCCCCTTCCCTCCGATACACTGGCATGCTGATGGCTGCAGTCATCCTCTGGGAACACAGAAGCTGTAAGGAAGGCTGGGTAAGCTTGCTCACCTGTGAGCTGCCGGTCTCCTCCGCCTTCTGCCTGTAGATAGGCAAGGTCAGAATGCACCAGAAGTCCAGGATTGTAGCCCCGTATACACGCCTCTGTCATCCGTGCTTCCAGTGTTTCAAATACCTTTTTCTTAGTCACATGAAGTATTCCCAGGTTTGCAAAGCTGGAGAAAAGCAGTAAGAGGAGCCCCAAAACGAACCAGAAGTTAGGCAGGCCATGGCTGGAGAGTGGGTGCACTCAGCATCTTACACAAACCAGAGTTAGATGAATCTCAGAATTCGGGACTTTATGTTATGAGAGTAGTATATGGCATATGCTGTACATCACACAACACTGTTGGCAGGGCTGGGGCGCACGATGTACTCAGCTCATTAACATTTCTGCAGAGAGGCCAATAAACCTACTCATCACATGTGAGTCAGGCCAGGTTAAACTGGGTTACTAAATGAGTTGGTGGTAAACTCATTTAGCACTTGAGTCTCAGAGCATCTTAGATGTCAAATCAGGAGTCACAGAGTATGGGGTACACTTGTATGTATGTTTTACTAGGGAAGTTTGTGTGGCTTCATTCTGCTCTCACATAATGCACATGCTAGCGTACATGATGACAGATTTCACTAAGTGTAACTTAGAGAAAAACACATGTAACCAAGGAAATGAAGACAGGAAGGGGAGGGGCGAGAGGGTAGGAGAGCCGGACAGGGAGAACCCAGACAGGACTCTGAGATCACAGCTGAGCCAGTCCTGAGGGATGTCAGAGGAAGAAGTGGATTTTAAATGACAGCTGCAGACAGGGTATGAACACCCCACGGCAGGACCACTCCATGAGTGTGAAGACCCTAAGGCAGGACCACTCTGTGAGTGTGAAGAGCTTAAGGCAGGACCACTCTGTGAGTGTGAAGACCCTAAGGCAGGACCACTCTGTGAGTGTGAAGACCCCAGGGCAGCACAACTCTGCTGTTTTTGACAGTGGCAGAAAGGTAGCACATGGGCTGAGGGTAGGAAGCAGAGTCAGAGATGATAGATGAATTCAAAGAGAAAGTACAACGCCCGGATCTCTCAGAGCCATATAGATGTTTGTAAGGACTTTTACTTTGAAAGTAAAATAGATATAAGAAAAAGACATAGGTCGGTGAGATGGCCAAGTTAGTAAGGACACGTGATGCCAAGCTTGGTGACATGAGTTCAATCCCTGGACCCCACACAGAAGGGGGAGGGAAGCAGCTTCCACAAGTTGTTCTCTGGGATTTGACACACCCACACCCACACACCCACCCCCCCCCCCCCCCCACACACACACACACGGCTATGCTAAATGTAATACGAAATTACAATAAAGGAGATATGACAACTTGCCTGCACACATGAGAACGTGCTACTGTGCAAAGGTCATATAAACTAGAGACAGTAAGAGAAGAGGTGAAGCAGAAGGAAAGAGACAAACACAAACAGAAGCCCAGACATGGAGTGAGTTACAGGGACACACAGAGAAGTAAGCATGCCATATTTCCACAGCTCCAGAGATCTCCAGCTCTAGAACACAGGCTGACATGTGGGTCCTCAGCAAATGCATGCTGGGTACAGGAAACCTTGAACGGAGCAGCACAAACAGCTATGCACCCCAACCTGCTAATGTACTTGGAGGTCCAGGTAGGCCTCCGGGAGCAACAGCTCTCGTGTCTGACCTTCTTCGTCTCACTCTTGTGCAGGCTAGGAGCACAGGGTCATCTCCTGGGAACATCAGTGACCATCACCTCAGCTGCACTTCTTACATGTAACTAGCTAGCTTGTTACATGTAATCACCTAGCTTCACATCTGGAGAAAGGCATCATGCTTATTTATTGCGTGAATCATGAAGGAAGGATATACCCTAGTAAACAATACACCAGTGTTCCACCACAGGCCACAGTGGAGTAATATAGACCTAGACTGACCCTCCAGAATTAAATACATGAGAAACGACTGTCATGCTCTGGGGAACATGTGACACAGAATAGTGATCCTAAAAAAATGGAGAGTTACTCTTACAATTACCTGGCTTAATGCCCAGGTTGCAGGATGGGAAGGAGAACCCAAACAGCCAGCCATTGTCCTGCAGTTGCCGAGACAGGTAAAGACTTAAGGTTAAGGAGACTAGAATTTATAGCCAGAGCATCACAGATATTCAAAAGTCCAAAGGAAACTTTTGGTGGTCACTTACATTAGTGAGAAAGCCCTGTTCGTCTGAGGGAAAAAGCCACTGTTCTCATAGACCGTACAAAGCTGGACCGAGAAGCCTCAAAATACATGAGGCATCAAACTGACTATTCAGAGGGTTTCTCTTAGTAATTGTGCCAACTCAACCCTAGTCTGAGAGACAGGATGTCAGAAAACAGGAATGGGGGGGGGGACAGTGACAGAGAAGTAGTGGACAGAAAATTTAACAGTTGAAAAGCTTTAAGATTTAATAAAAATGTAAATCTAAAGGTCTAAGAGTACCAAGAAGCTCAGGCGTAAAAAGAAAACTATTTTCAAATCCATCAAAACTCACACTGCTTACAGCTAGTGCTGAAGAGAAGTCAGAGGCACTGCTAGAGAAACAATCACACTGGGAAGAGCAGAGCCGGGGTGAATGTACAGAGAGCTCTTGCTGGAAACAGGTCAAGTCCTAAGATAGTGAATCAACATAAAACCAGGACATGAAAGAACACATTGTCAACTTAGAATCCTCTGCTCTTCACAAAACACCTTTGAACAGAGAAGATGAAGGGAAGACTTTCAGGCATAAAACCAAAAAAACTCATCAGCCTCAGATCAGCAACATGGGGAAGTGACGCAGGCTGGAGAGAAGATACCAGATAGGAAGTAACGCAGGCTAGAGAGGACGATACCAGATAGAAGTGATGTGGGCCAGGGAGGATGATATCTGATAGAAATCTTGACCTATAAAACACGATGAAGAGCAATGCAGATTCCAATGTGTGTAAATAGAAGATTCAAGTGCCCTAATTTATACAACTTATTTAAAAGTTTCTTTTTTTTTTTTTTGGTCTAGGGAGATAAAAAACCCACAAAACAAACGTATTGTGGAATTTTTAATGTATGTAGATGTAAGCTCTATGACATGACAGCATAAGGCCTGGACCAGGGAAGTGAAAGTTCACATACATACAGCACAAAACATCTTACTTACAGTGACACCATGCTCAGTGTATCATTATTACCCAAGATGGGGTTTAAGAGCAAATGGTACTACCAAGGATGGAAGGGATTATTTTGTAGTGAAAGAAATATCAATTCATCAAGAAAGCTTAAGAACCCTAACTATTTATGCACCTGGTACAAGAAAGCTCCACATTATAGGAAGCAGAAATCTTACAACATGAAAGGAAAAAATAGACGTATTTATAAATGCACCGGCGGTTTCGACATCCCTCTCTTAGCCATGGACAGAACTAACAGATGAAAAGCAGTAAGGACATAAGACTAGACTAACACTCTAACTTCTGCACCCAACTGACATTTACAGACCATCTACTCTACTAGACAACAGTGAGCATCCTTTAAAAATATCACTGGTTGTTTTCTCAGCCATAAAATAGGCATCAGTAAATTTAAAATGATACAAATTATATAAAATATCCTCCAACCACAATACAATTAGATATCAATAGCCAAAAGATATCCATGTATAAGAATGTATTTAATCAAGTTTGGGAATGTAATACTTCGTTGTTGGTGCTGGGTTATGGGCACAATAGTAGCTCGTTATGGTATTCTTTTACTTCAAGAATGTTTAAAATTTTTACAATAAAAATGTCAAAGAAAATGAGACTAGAATATTTGTATTGGTATTATAAATATGAGTACGTAAGGACTATACAATGCTTTAGCCACTTTGGAAAAAGATTTGGAACATTCTGGTAAATATTTTCATAGCCTTTGTCTTTGTCATTCTCTTCCTCAATATTCGCCCAAGAGAAATGAAAACTTATGCTCACAAGCAAAGCACCTTATCGTCAATACCTGGAGAGAAACCAAATGGCCTTGAACAGATGAATGAATGACGAACTGCAGGCATCAGTACAATGCCATGCATGCCATAGTGACCGGAAGGAAGCGAGTACGGAGAGATGGAACAACAACATGGAGCGCATCTGTGCATGCTGCTGAGGGGAAGGCTTTGAATGTCCCTGTGTTGTATGACTCTACGGTATGCAATTCTGGAAAGGCAGAACCATAGGTAAAGAAAACTCATCTGTATTTGTGAAGACCTTTAGTGGAGTGGAGGGCAGGAGTTGTCTACAAAGAGGCGTTGGGAGACTCTGGACTTAGGAACCACGGCATACTTAATGGGAGTAGCCATGTGATTATCAACATTCACAGAAATGAACACTGGAGAGGAGGAGTACTGCAGCATGACATTTAAAAACAGAAAGGCCACACCCACTAATAAAAGGGCTGAAACCGCAACCTAGCTTCTTCCTCTCATATTCACAACATGGAAGTCTTTAGATCAGCAACATCAGCAGTGTTTTAGAATTTACTAAAAATCTGGAACTTGATCCAAACCTATGGAATCAGAACTTTTCAAACAAACCCTTCAGTTAACTCTGAGGAACGCTGAGGCTGGAGAACCTGGCTTTACACTGCTCTGTGAAACCATACTCTCTGGGATGGAGGCTGGCGTCAGTTATGTTTGAAGTGACCCAGGCTGACTTGGACCCGTAGCCACCAATAACCATGCTGCAGTAGGCCAGATGTTTTCATCTTCATCATCATCTGGAAGCTGTTGCTGAAGTTTTGATGTGTCTAACACTGGGTTGGGGCTTACAAGTGGCCCCACTTTGGCCTTTGCTGTTTCGGGACTTAGACCTTAATTTCACAGGACTCAAAAGCAGCTCTTGACTCTCAACAAGCATTATCAACTTGGAACCGCACACCTCTAGCCTACTCATACTTGGCCAATCTCCAGTCAGTGGCTCTTCGGTGAGCCAACGTTTAGCTACACAAAATGACCAATCCCAGTTAGTTTGGCTCTGTAAAACAGTAATTTAACGTAGCCCTTCTACTGAGGGAGGCCAAAGGTTCACCTGTGTAATTCTTGTATTTATGTATCGTCTAGAACAACACTTCTCAGCCTCCCTCATGCTGGGGCCCTTTAGTACAATTCCTCATGTTGTTGTGACCTCCAACCATAAAATTATTTTCATTGCTACTTCATAACTGTGACTTTGGCATTGTTTTAAATCTTAATATACATTTCTATGTTTTTCTATGGTCATAGGCAAGCTTTGTGAAAGCCCATTTGATGCCCACAGGGGCTGTGATCAACAGGTTGAGACCCTCTGATCTAGTGCGTACCAACTGCTATATGCTACACAAATTAGTTGGGAGGGGAAAAGAAAAAGAACTGTACATCTCTTTTAGCCCAGGTTGCCAGGAAACAAACAGGGTGTGGTGACTTTTGGTGGACGCAGTCGTCAGCAAAGTAGAAATACACAGACATTTCCCACCAAATGAAAAATTTCAGAGAACTAGAATGTTGCTAAAAAAAAAAAATGCTAGTATTCTAGGTCAAAATACAATACCAAATAGGATCATTATTATTTTTTATTAAGAAAGGCAGTGAAATCTAACTAAGAGGATAAGAGACAAGAGGACCAATGAAAGCTAACTAAGGTTAATGACCCTATGTTAAAGCAATCAAATCCATAATCAAACCCTAAGAGATGATCATTCTAATACTGATAAAATAATATGGAAAAATAGTAACTAAACTTATTGAGAATTCAAACAGAGAAGAAGGTGTGAAAGGCACTGTAAACAGAGGGGGTCCTTTTGGTTTTGATGTGTTCAAAGCTATGTGTCTTCTCGGTGCCATTTTTACATATTTGATATTTTGGATTGGTGCCTTGTTTGTGAATCTATACTCAGCCTAATCTGTATTATTTGGAAATATGTTATCTTGGTTCTATTTCTAGTATTGACAAGTCTTAGAAATACCTTTGGCTGCCTTCCTAAACTTCTCGACTACAAGTCAGAACTAAATAAAATAACCGATGTCATACCATGGAAAGATAGTGACAAGTTCACTCATGCTATTTTATAACACTAGCTAATGTAGGCTAGTCTAGAGGGTTAACAACACAGAGTGCCTGGAGATAGATAGTCTGTGTCTTTCTGATTTTGTAAGGAAAGAAATTCTTTAGAAAGCCATGCAACTTGCCCCTGTTTCTGTTGTGCACAGTGACAGGGGCAGAATAAGAGTTCTGACTTCCAGGCTGCTAGCAGACTGCCTTTACATCCAAGAGAAAAAGAAGAGAAAGTAAAAGATGTAGGTCTGTGTTAGGAACTCATAGACACAGAGATGAAGGAAGTGGTGTCTTTTGGGGAATACCATGAGCAGAATTCTCTTCTATAGTAAGAAATTCTTCGGTGAGAAAAGATACTGGGGCTATCTGCTATCACTCAGGTGGCATCTCCTTGACAACATCTCTCAGTTTCCTAACCTTAGAAAATCCCACCCAGCTATGACTAGATCAAACCATAGAGAACAAATTCAGGAATCAGACGTTGAAAATGTTTGCTTAAAAAAAAAAAAAAAAAAAAAAAGAAAATGTTTGCTTAATCAATGAATAATGTACACTCTCAACCCTCGAGCTGCCTACTCCACTACATGAAAAGACACTGATGGACCTCTCTGCTCTGCTTATAGATACTGAATTATCTCCACTGCTGCAGCCTAGGCTCCAGCATAAACAGCCATTAGTTCTTTTTAGTGTGTGTGTGTGTGTATGTGTGGGGGGTGGTTCTGAGGAATAATCCAAGGCCTTGTGCATGCTAGACAGGCCCTCTACCACAGAGCAGCAGACATAGCCACCATTAGTTCCTTCTAAGTCATGAAAGAGTGTTAAACCCAACAGAGAAGCAACACTATGCAAGTTTTATAATAATAAATATAACTGATAGAATTACTGATAGAAAAGTTTACGTATAATTTCCTTAAGAACATACAATGGTAAGATGAATTAAACAAGACCAAAAGAATGTAAATGCTTCATAGAGATAGGCTATGCTGCTGCAAGTCAGGAAATACACTGACTGATCAGTCATCTAAAACTGACAGTCACCTTGCATTTCAACCCTTGCAAGTCAGGTGGGAGCTGGAAGGGTACCAGCCGTGACAGACTGAGAAGCAGGACATCCAGGAGATGCTGAGACAAGCTAATGTGCACAGGAATCAACTTCAGCTTCCTCCAGTTCAGATCGCTGCCTCCCTAACATCAAACCCACCAGAGTTTAGTGACTTAAAAGGAAAGCTCCCTCTCTCTGGGCTTCTCACACTTGGACATCTTCATCATCAAAGAAACGCCTGAGAATTTGAAAGCTGAACCACCCAAGGGTTGGTAACTTGAACAATAGAGTCGAACTTCATCAAGCAATTACTTTCTTCGCATAAAAAACACACATTTCCTGGAATCTTCGCAGACTTGATCTAAGACTAGAGAACTCTGAATGATGTTGTACACAATTAAATAAAATCAACAAGAATGTATCTGCATGCAAGCACAGAGAGCACAGGTAGGAAATTTTCCTCAATCACTTCTCTAACTCAGTTTTGAGCCAGGGTCATCCACTGGACCCTCTGGCTTGTGAGCCCCGAGGATCTGCTCTTTCACTGTAGCCAGGCATTGGGGCTCCAGGTATGTCACTACACCTGGTTTTGGGGAACACTGAGACAGAATCTCTCTGTGTAGTCCTGGCTGTCCTGGAATTCACTCTGTAGGCCAGGCTGGCCTCAAACTCACAGATGTTCCTGCCTCTGTCTCCTGAGTGCTGAGACTAAAGCTGTGTACCACTGTGCCTTGCTTTTTCCTGTTTTTATTTAATCTATCAGTTTGGTTTTTTTACCCCTGCTTTTCATGTGGGTGCTGGAGCTGAACTCAGGCCCTGAAGTTTGCACTGAAAATACTCTACCCACTCACCCTTCTCCCAGCTCTTACTTTTTGATTTTAAAAAATATTTTAGTTAACTTTTTTTATTTAAAATTTTTATTACATTTTATTTGTGTGTGTGCTTATAGTTTTGCTGCATGTGGAGGTCAGAGGATAATTTGTGGAAGTTGGTTCTCTCCTGCCGTGTGGGCTACAGGGGTTGGATTCGGGCTGTCAGGCTTGGTGGAAAGTGGACTTAGCCACTGAGCCAACCCCTTTGCTGTTTATGAATCCGGAAGGCAGGAGTTATCTGTATTTGAGATGACTGAATGCTTACATCAGGTTTTGCTCTCTAAGTGACTACACTGTCTGGTGTTTTAGTGTCTCAGGATAATGGAAATATAAAACCTTAGTTAGCATAATGAGTGTCTTTATGTTATGTGTGCCTACATTTGCGTGTGCGAATGCAGGTGTCTATGTGCCGTGGTGTGCATGGAGGGCTCTGAGGAGAACTTCAGGTCTGAGATGGGGTCTGTTTGGTCAAGTTGGTGCCTGAGATTCCAGAGAGTCTCCTGTCTCTGCCTCCCGTTGCCCTGCAAGAGCTGAGAGTATAAATGCCCATGCTCTGCAGAGGCCTCTGATGAGAGGTCAGGGGCTTTGAACTTGGGCCATCACACTTGCAAAGTAAGCTCTCACCCTCAGCCTGTAAGTATGGCTTCTTAAATATTATGTGATTCTTTTGAAATAAAATTACTTCTATAAAGTTTCATTCACGGGCTGGAGAGATGGCTCAGTGGTTAAGAGCACTGACTGCTCTTCCAGAGGCCCTGAGTTCAATTCCCAGCAACTACAAGGTGGCTCACAACCATCTGTAATCGGATCCGATGCCCTCTTCTTCTGTGTCTGAAGAGAGCAATGGTGTACTCATATACATAAAATAAATAAATCTTTTAAAAAAAGATTTTATCTAAAAAAAATTTCATTCACTAAAAATTGTTGTATTTGACTGACCTTGAATGAATACACTCATTTCTATTTATGTTCCAGATCAAATGAATGCTCAAACCAATTTGCATTTCTTGGTTACTTAATCTGCACATATTTTTAAAGTAGCACAGAGTTAAAACAACATTTACATATGTGCTTCATGTCTCAAATATTTCCACTAGAACTCTATTAATGAAATCACAAATAGGCAAAAATCAGAGTTGTGTGGGGTGGTGCATATCTCTAATCCCAGTTCCTAAATACTTGGGAGGTAGAGAAAGCAGGATATGTGTGAGTTCAAGGTAAGTTTATACTATACTGGAGATGCTGTTTCAAGGAAGCAAAAAGCCTCTCCATGGTAGTCATTTCTATATAGTTAAGGTAGTTGTGGTACAAATGCCTCTTGGGTCAAGAGCCCATAACTATAACATTGTCCAAACCCATCCCTGAGAGGTCAAGACTACGGAGGCAAAGACTGTCTCAGGCAGTGCAGATATCTGGTCATCTCTATTTCGTTCAAATGAGAGAACACACATTCTCCTGGCTTTATAAGCTTGCCTGTGTTTGAGACCCTCTCAGGCCTTGAGCAGGTCCACAATAAAAGGGGTTTATGGATTTCACAGCCACGCGTTCCACGCCCTCCTGTTCCCGCTCCCTCCATACCACAGACCCCACTTACCCAACCACCATGTCCTTGGGTCCTGCTGTTACGGTGCATATGCCGTCCTCACAGTGTTTGCCCACCAGGCTGTGGGCGTGCAGGTGGATGTTTTTTCCATTTGTGACCAACTGAACGATAACCTTTGCAGGCCCCACATAGTTGCAAATCTATATGAGAAGCACATTTCCAACAGTTAGTATATCTGACCTTATTGTAACACGGGACCAATCAGCATAACTATAACATTTTGCAGATGTATACATATTTGACCATAGCTCAACTTAAAAAAAATATACAATGAACACATGACAAGATGGAAATAAATCAAAATGCTCGTGGGGGTTGCTTGTATGTCCAGGAACAAGCCATTGAAAACACAGTATGCCTCCTCAGAGAGGACTGTCACGTGGGTCCTTACATAGACCCTCCTTACTAACCAACGTGGTTTCCTCTCTGAAACCTTGTCACGATTTTTGGAGACAAAAATTAAGTAAATGATGCATGAGGAGGGAACGGGCAACTGATGGAGTAAGAGAGATAAACAAAGAGTGTGTCCTAACTCCTTGCCATGTGATTAGGCCAGAAAGGTAATCTTGTTCAGGGACTGGCTCTGAAAGGTGTTTTTAATGATTTAAGCCCATGGCTTGCCCCACATCACGTCATAGGACACCCAACTAGTCTATAGTAGTTTTCTCAGCCATGGGCTCTGACACTCATACTGTATATGTTCAGGGCTTTTGTGAGTTTCTTAAATAAAAAAAGCAAACTTCCTGACTGGAAATTTGTAGGTTTCTCATTTGGTTTTTAGCTCTTGTTTTACAAAGTTAAGTTTTCCATGTGAGGCGACTGTTTTACTTGTGTATTTTTAACATGAGGAGAGCAGCAATGGACAAGACAGAACAGAGGAGATGACATAGTCTTTCTTGTCTAGTTGACCATCCTGACTTCTATAGTATAGAACTTTTCCCCAAGAAGGCCCAACACGAAAATCACTGCATGAAAATTCAGAGGCTTCGTTTTCCCCTTCAGTCAGAACCTGCCATAAATCCCGCCTACTGTTAGATATGCATGAAGTACATTGTCTCTCTGGGTAAATGTAAACATGAGCGTGAAGAGCCTGCATCTGCTAATAAAGCTTCTTGTAAAGACACAGCTTTCCTCAGCCAGCTCACTCTGAATATCATCACTATCAACTGGATCCAGACTCCACTGAGACAGGGCTATGCAGAGGTTTTTCTCAATATGGATTTTCCTCAATGTAACCTTTGATTGCCAGAGCTGAAATGCTGATAACTGCTGGTGTTACTCCCCAGAGAGTGTGGAGAAAAGATACCATAGCCGTGAACAATGGTATCCCTTCTGGTTAGGTAGGCAGTTGCCCTAGACAATTCAAGGATGCCTGTCTGTCTGAGCCCTGATGCAACATTTTAATGCGTTGCTTCTGAACCTACCCCAAAACTCATGAGATGTTTTGAGCCTAGAAACTTAATCCAGTTATGTGTCTGGAGTAGATCTTTAGGAGGTAAAGTCAAGTAAGCCATAAGAGCCAGGCCTTCGTTTATGGAGCTGTGAGTTATGAAGAGGAAGAGATACTCAAGCCAAGATGGCCTCCCTTGTTATGTAATTTCCTGTCTTGTCCTGGGCTGCAGACTTCCCATCAGATGGGGCTGCCCAACTGCAGCCTTGCAGGCTTCACACCAGGGGCCAAGCAAACTGGAATTCTGTGTAAATTACTTGTCAGCCATTACAACATAAAGTGGACCAGGGCATACTTCTTCCAGAGGGTCAAGGCCATCGGCAAGACTGTCTTTCCATAGTTACAGAGTGACCTAATTCAGAGGAAGGTTTTGCACTAACTTTAACCTTGACTATCCCAAAGCACAAACCACTTTCTTAGGCACAGAACTTAAAACGCTCTCTGATATTAAAATGAAGTGAATTTAGCAAGCAATCTTTCTCCACAGGCCAAACACCTTCCCATCTAAATGTAGGACGAGGAATATAGAGTTCTGGTTTTGTTCCAAGGTTGATGCTCTTCCTGCACAGTTGCGTAGTGCCTGAATTGATGATTCCAACTCTGGATGATTGCATCAGTCTGTTGATGATCAGCCGAGGTGCCAAGTCAAATGATTACACTCTTAACTGACAGTGTGCACAGAAAGGCTCAAGGAAGCGCTTCACTTGGGTGAAATCAGGCAGGCTTTGCACTTAAGCAGAAAGACCTCAGTGAGGAAGGCCAGTCACTTTGGAATCCTAGCCTTCTGAAGCTAGGGTGACAGGGTAGTTAGTCACTGGCACTGACGGAAAGAGGTGGGAGGTGCTTTCAAAGAGCACTCACTTGTTTTTCTTACTACTATCTTCATGGTTGAAGGGCAGCAAGAATGAGGAACTGGGACAACTCTAAGGTGAGGGACTTGAAAGATCTGACTAATGTGTTGTTTGATCCATCTGAAAGAGTGCAAGTCAGGATGGCAGCATTTGGTTTTTACACAGACCACAGAATGAAAAGAGGGATGTCCCTGGGCTTTCTGTACTTTCCAAGATGCCATCTGAGTGAGAAAAAGCCTGAAGGGTGGGGATAGCTGTATGGCACAGGCAAACCTCGACAACGATTTCTTGGGGGAACCATCCCCTATCATCCCATAGAGGCCAAGAGGTATTCAATACCAATTTAGAAATTTATTCTGGGAAGGGAATGGAAGTACTAAGTCTCCAAAGAACAGTCTCTTGAAGATCAGGTTTATAGAGGGCAACTGTGTCTGTTAGGAAGGTCTTTCTGAGAGTAGAATCTGAACAGAGACTCTTAAACACATCATAAGCACTCAAGCACAGATAAGAAGGCAAAGGCGCCACCCTGCATGGTCAACTGCTCAGAATGGTAAGAGTATGGACTTCAGAGACAGGCTAGGCTGGCTGGGGGAGAGGGGCAGTTCCACACTGTATGACCTTGCTCAGTCTCTTCATCTGTTCAGTGAGACAATAATGGTCAAAGAGCTGTGGTGAGGAATATATACATTCAAGTACACAAAGTCTTCACAGCAGTGTTCAACAGAGGAGAGGACAACCCTTAGAGGGCCTTGAGTAATACACCTGCCCAAGATGATGTTTAACAGGTTGATTTGAAGTGAGTGATTGGAAAATACTTGGCCCACATCTATTCCAGGGGGAAGTTTTCTTTCTACATTGCAGTGCTTTGTTTGTCTTATATAAATACATTTATTTTCTTTCTTTTGCTGTGTTTTATTTTTCTACAAAATACTATGTTATTCTAATGTCAGCTACCATTCTTGGGGACAATCAGACTTCCTTGGCCTTCTCTGATGAAGGAAAACTCTTCTAGAATTCTGAGTTCATAGGTCAGAGCTACTTTTGGAATAAGAACCACAAGTCATGGGCTCAGGTATGGCCTTCTTAGTGAGGCACATACTTTTACCTCAGATAGGCCTGACTACCGTGGAAAAGCACATGCTGCTTCTTCAAAGGGGTTACAAGAGATAAGTGGTCTAGAACTTTCTCAGAATCAGGAGTTTCAAAAGTCAGTCTGCTCTCTGAGTAAACCTGGCTAAAGTACTTTGACAGAAAGCAGAACAGCATAAATGTAAGGCATCACATCTAAAATCATTCTTTTCTGCTGATTTTTCTTTCAAACATCCTCAAGGTTCTAACAGGACCTGGCTCTGTTTTTGAACCCAACTTTGCTCTTTACCACAGCAGGTCATGGTTAGGTTAAGATCTCTTAAAGTCAGGCTCAAATCCCCCAGCTGCTGGGGAGTGGTGTGTGTCAGCTTCTCCACCTTTAAAAATCAAATTAATGACGCAGTATTACAGGACTGCTTTAAGATTAAATGAGTTAAGACAACACTTGGTTCCTGATGGTATCAACAATCCTAGATATAAACTGTCTCTTATTTAACCCATTACTTCACTGAGAACTAAAGTTCACCAGTTGATTTTGTACATCTTTGTTAAGCCCCCTTCTAATTGCTCTACACTGTAGAAGGTCAGAGAGTGTGGGCTACACCTTGTTCAGAACAAGCCTGATTCCTTTCTCTCATGGAATTAAACAGGGGGCCAGACACTAATCAGATAACTTCAACAATACACGTAAAACCTAAATGGAGAACTGATCAATGGAATTTCTAATAGTGTCTGATATGGTTGGGAGTGAGAGAGAGCTTCGATGTGACTAACAGGGACTGGGATTTGAAGCTGGAGTTGAGCAGACTGAGAAAGGGCAGGTGGAGGATGAGGTGGCTTGTCAGACATTCTTGGTGGGTGGAGTGCATGCTCGCACACGGTGCTCTCAGTCCTGAACCCCCACCTTTGCTCATTAACACTGCACAGGAGTTCCTTCACGCTGCACCAAGAGCAGGTGTCTCTTCTGTTTCCCACTGAGAATGGTATCCATTCTTTAATGAGAAGACCTAAGCCTATCTTCATGACTCCTTCACTACATCAGCCTATTAAGGCTCTACTACTGTCCCCTTTTCGAGAATGACTGGAGGATTAGGAAAATGATATGTGACTGGTTAGTGAGGGTTAATAATGTCTTACTTTTCATGCTTGTTAATGTCCCAGAGCATGTGTTCATCCACTTCTATGTGTTTGTTCTATTTCTACAGAAGAGGAGGGAGAAATCCACGGAGTAGCCATGTGGGGGTCAGTAATGGCACCCCATTCCACTGGGGGAAAGAACCAGTACTGTGCAAGCTGAAGTAACTAACGTGCATGGCCTCGTTCCTATGACTTCTGGTAAGGTGGCGACTTCTGGTAAGGTGGCAGTGCCCTGAACTCGGGTTTGCCACCGCCTCCCCCAAAGCCTATCCACATTTCCACGTCACATCACCACATGGCTCAGTTATTTTTCTCTGTCTAACTAGCTTTAATGTGCTATGGCTCTACTTTGCCCATCTGAGCATAGGTACAGATACAGAAACGCCTGCACTGGTGGAGGTGGATTGTGAGAAAGGCCTCACACCAGGTAAGAGAAGAAGGAACAAGAGTTCCCTTGTCTTCCTGAAAGTCCTTTCCATTTAAAGAAAATAAATAAAAATGCTACAGTTATCATTAAACCATGTCACTCTTCTCCAGTCAAGTCAAATTATAAAGGAGGAGGGAGGAAGGCAGGGAAATGGAATAGTATATTATTTAATGATGCATGTCCTCT